TCCCTGCTCGCAGCAATGTAAATGGTAAAGAAGCAGCTGACAAGAATGTTGGCAACAATGGGTATTTAATGCGCAATCAACATCGTTGGTTGTACCCCTGATGATGTCTTTTTATGACGAAATGCGTTGTGCACGATAAACATCGTTGGTTGCGCCCCCGATGACGTCTTTTTATGATGAAATGAGTTGTACACGATAAACATCGTTGGTTGCGCCTCTGATGACGTCTTTTTATGACAAAATGAGTTGTGCGTGATAAACATCATTGGTTGCAGCTGTCTTTTTATGACAAAATGCATTGTGTGCGATAAACATCATTGGTTGCTCCCCTGATGACGTCTTTTTTATGACAAAATGCGTTGGGTGCAGCGAAGCCGTATGACGTAGTCCTTTTTTAAGAAGATCGACACAATTCGTGATGAGATCTCCAGTGTCAAGCTTCCTCCTCTAACCAACATACCAGGCCCAACACCACACTCAACACTCTCCTCCTTCGACCCTGTTACCACAGAGGAAGTTACCGAACTCCTTTCCAAGGCCCACTTCACCACTTGTCCCCTGGATCCTGTCCCCTCACGACTGTTGCAGCCTCCTTCCTGCTCTATCCTAAACTCTCTAACCCACATCTTCAACCTCTCACTCTCCATGGGCGCCTTTCCCTCTCCGCTCAAACATGCACTGGTTGCCCCATTATCAAATATCCCTCGCTGAACCCCACCTGTTTGAATAACTTAAGACCCATCTCCCTGCTCCCATTAGCCTCCAAGCTTCTCGAGCGCCTTGTTCACAACCGTATAAACTGCTACCTCACAGACAACAACCTTCTCCATCCTCTACAGTCTGGCTTCCGCCCACAACGTTCCACAGAAACGGCCGTACTAAAACTCACTAATGACCTACTAACTGCTAAAACCAACAGCCATTACTCCATACTCATACTCCTTGACCTTTCCGCTGCCTTTGACACAGTCGACCACCCGCTCCTCCTCAGTAAACTTCACTCCATCGGCCTCCATGACTCTGCTCTCTCCTGGTTCTCCTCTTACCTTTCTCAGCGCACTTTCAGTGTCACATACAACTCCTCCTCCTCCGTTCCTCTTCCTGCTGGAGTACCCCCAAGGCTCTGTCCTTGGGCCCCTCCTTTTCTCTCTCTACACCTCCTCCCTGGGCCAACCAATAACCTCCCCTGGCTTCCAAAACCACTTCTATGCTGATGACACCAAGATCTCTCTCTCCACTCCCCAGCTCACCCCCTCAATCTCCTCACGTATCACAAATCTACAAAGCGACATATCAGCATGGATGTCACATCACTACCTTAAACTCAATCTTTCCAAAACTGAGCTTGTAATATTTCCTCCTCCCCGATCCCCCACTCATGACTTTACCATTAAGATCAACAGCACAACCATTCGTCCTTCTCCTCATGCCAAGGTGCTAGGTGTGATCCTAGACTCTGACCTCTCCTTTGGGCCCCACATCCAATCACTGGCTAAATCCTGCCGCCTCAACCTCCAGAACATTTCCAAAATCCGCCCCTTCCTGACCAATGACACCACAAAACAACTTATCCACGCCTTGGTTATGTCCCGCCTCGATTACTGCAACTCCTTCCTCACTGGTCTACTGTTACACAGGCTATCCCCCCTTCAGTCTATCATGAATGCTGCTGCTAGACTCATACACCTTACCAACCGATCAGCAACTGCTGCCCCTCTGCCAATCCCTTCACTGACCTCCACTAACCCAATGTATAAAATTCAAAATACTAACCACAGCTTACAAAGCCATCCACAACACTGCCCCTAGCTACATCGCCAATCTTATCCACAGATACTGCCCAAATCGCCCACTCTGCTCTTCCCAAGATATCTTCCTCTCTAGCTCCCTCATCATCTCCTCCCACACTCGCCTCCAGGACTTCACCAGAGCCTCTCCCATCCTCTGGAACTCCCTACCACAGCATGTCCGGTCAGCCCCCACCCTGTCTGCCTTTAGGCATTCTTTGAAAACTCACTTCTTCAGGGAAGCCTACCCCACCTCCACCTAAGAACTGTACTTGAATCACCTCCGCCAGATCATCCCCCGCAGCTATCACCTTTTGTATCACCTCCCCCTTCCTTTAGATTGTGAGCTCCACGAGCCGGGCCCTCCTATTCCTTCTGTACTGAAATGTATTGTAATTATACTGTCTCCCTTATATTGTAAAGCATGGCACAAACTGTTGGCGCTATATAAATCCTGTATAATCATAATGACGTCATCGCGTCATGGGTCGGGGCCATCTTGCTAGTTGGAAACACCCGATTTTTTTTTTTTTATACGCTAAACTTCGTTTGCTATTTGTAAGTGCAATACTTTTATTATATCTTGATTTAAAAAAATTATTACACATTGAAGCAGTTCTGATTTTCTTTACATATCTATATTTGATCATCTTCTTGGCCTAATACCATACTTATGCCTTGGAGTAAGCTGCAGTGGAAGAGAGACTAGAGATCGGTTGGGATCCCTGGCCACCAATACATATCACATGCGCTTTTTTTTTCATTGGTTTCTGGTAAGAGGCGAAGTGCGTGTTGGCAGTGGAAGATTCCTTCTTTTCTAAAGCAATTTTATCTCTTCAGACACGTGGTTTATGAGACTTCCAGCTGCACTTTATGGACTCCTTTTGACAACTGCCCCTTATGATATTTGCACTTTACATCGTGTTATTTTTTTTTGTGAATATATTATATTCAATCTAGGGTAATTAGAGCTGAGTTTTGTTATATAAAAGGCAGGCAAAAGGCCGCATCCGGCCCACAGTTCAGAGACCACTGACCTATAGGAACAGAGCAAGAGTATCAGAAGTGAGGATCCCACATTTGGATAATAAAGAAGACAAAAAAAATGCAGCTCCATCTTAACCATTTGGTTATGGATAAATCACACAAAAGGTTGGAACCTACAGTATTGAAGATTTTTATTTTGGTCTTTTCTTGAACAGCTTCCAGAAATACTGCTACAGAGTGGCACGGGTGCACAAAATCACGTATATACAGTATCTCCCAGAAGTAAGTACACTCCTCACATTTGTGTAAATACTTGATTCTATCTTTTCATGTGACAACACTGAAGAAATGACACTTTGCTACAATGTGACGTGTACAGCTTGTATAACATGTAAATTTGCTGTCCCCTCAAAATAACTCAACACACTGCCATTAATGTCTAAACCGCTGGCAACAAAAGTGAGTACACCCCTAAGTGACAAGGTCCAAATTGGGCCCAAAGTGTCAGTATTTTGTGTGGCCACCATTATTTTCCAGAACTGCCTTAACCATCTTGGGCATGGAGGTCACCAGACCTTCACAGGTTACCACTAGAGTCCTCTTCCACTCCTCCATGATGACATCACGAAGCTGGTGGATGTTAGAGACCTTGCGCTACTCCACCTTCCGTTTGAGGAGGCCCCCGAGATGCTCAATAGGGTGTAGGTCTGGAGACATGCTTGGCCAATCCATCACTTTTACCCTCAGCTTCTTTAGCAAGGCAGTGGTCGGCAAGTGGTTAAAGAGATTCTAAAGGAATAAATTAAAAAAAAAAAAAATAGAAAACATGTCTATACGTACCTGCTGTGTGTAGTGGTTTTGCACAGAGCAGCCCAGATTCTCCTCTTCTTGGTTCGCTGCTGGCCCCTCCCTCCTGTTGGGTGCCTCCACAGCAAGCAGCTAGCTATAGGTGAACCCGAGCATGCGCACTCCCCAGCCGCTGCTCCGTGTGTCCATTCGCTTGGCCTCGCCCCCCTATCTCTTCTCATTGGCTCACTGGCTGTGACAGACAGTGGCTCCCGTTGCTGTCTCAGTCAATGAGGAGAGGGAGTCCCGAGATAGCCGAGACTCCAGTGCACATCGGTGGATCTAGAGGGAGCTTAGGTGGGCATTAGGGGGGCTGCTGCACACAGGCGGCCTTTAGAACCACTTTAATTTCTTGTCCCAGTACATCCAGCAACAGAGAATTTCCTTCTATCCTTTGTTGTTAATAGAGCCTCGGTGGGTTGGAACCTCAGTCAAATTTATTTTTGTCTGGGGGGGCATTCTCCTTACTTTCATCTTCACCCTTTGCCAAACACAGTTTTGGCAGGAGTTCCACTTTAAATTCTGTATGGACTTGATTATATGCATCCAGGGTGGATTACTTGTTAAATTCTTCCCTACCGCGCTATAGCCGAAGGACGGCTACAGAGCGGTTGTCTAGTTCTGGGACAACGTCCATGGACGTCATTCCAGAACACACCCCCTGCGCGCGCCCCAGCGGCGTGCACACAGCCCCACCAGTGATTGCTGTGTCCTATAGAAGCAGCTGATCACGTGATACGGTAAAAAGCCAATCACAGCTGCCTTTTACAACGTGATTAGCTGTGTCCAAGGACACAGCAGATCACCAGGTAAATATATTTATTGGCTGCACTTTCCTCACACTGTGACAGCGTGAGGATAGTACCAATAACCAGCAATTGTCAGCGAAGAGATCGGCACTGGTGATCAGTGCCCTAATGATCAGTGCCGCCCAGCAGTGCCACCCACCTGTGCCCAGCAGTGCCATCAGCCAGTGCCACCCATCAATGCTCATCAGTGCCACCTCATCAACGCACATCAATGATGGAGAAAAATTACCTGTTTGTAAAATTTTATAATAGAAACAAAGAAAAACTTTTTTTTTTTTTGCTCTTTTTTTTGTTTATAGTGCAAAAAATAAAACACTCAGTGATGAGTAAATACCACCAAAAGAAAGCTCTATGAGTGTGAAAAAAAGATAAAAATGTCATATGGGTACAGTGTTGCATGACTGCGAAATTGTCATTCAAAGTTTGACAGCGCTGACAGCTGAAAATTGGCCTGGGCAGGAGGGGGGGGGGGGGGGGGGGTGACAGTGCCCGGTAGGCGAGGGGTTAAACTGCTCCCACATTTATGGGCTGATCGCCCTATTCATTTCCCCGAGGGGTAGTTAGTCCCGCTTCACGACTCCCCCGTGTGAACTCTTTCATGCCGGTTAAGATACGACTTAAAATGGAAACTTTTACTGCATTTGGAACAGGAAAACGGCTTCACGCCTGAGTGAGTCCGCTGATGTTTGGTAAGATACATTCTTGAAGCAAAACATTTCCCGCACTCAGAACACGAATAAGGCTTTTCACCAGTGTGGGTCCTCTGGTGCACAATAAGACTGGAACACCGTGAGAAACATTTCCCGCACTCCGAACAGGAATAAGGCTTCTCCCCCGTGTGGATTCTTTGATGTTCGATAAGAATGGATCGGTCGGTAAAACATTTTCCGCATTCTGAACACGAGTGCAACTCCTGCCCTGTGTGGACTTTTTCGTGTCTGGTAAGGGATATCTTCCAGAAAAAGCTTTCGCCGCACTCAGAACAAGAGAACGGCTTCACCCCCGTGTGAGTGGTCTGGTGTACGGTAAGGTAAGACTTTTTAGCGAAACATTTCCCACATTCTGAGCAGGAGTAAGGCTTCACTCCCGTGTGGGTTCTCTGGTGATTGACCAGATGGGACCTTTTAGCAAAACATTTCCCGCACTCGGAGCATGAATACGGCTTCTCCCCTGTGTGAGTCATCTGATGGCAGGTAAGGTCCCCTCTCTTGATATAGGACTTCCCACACTCTGAGCATGTAAACGGCTTCTCCCCCGTGTGAGCTCTCTGGTGAAGAACCAGGTGATGTTTGGAAGGAAAGCACTTCCCGCATTCAGCGCAAGAATAAGGCTTGGCCCCGGTGTGAGTCCTCTGATGGGTGGCAAGGAGTGCCCGGTGCGTAAAGCGTTTGCCACATTCGGCACAAGGGAAAGGCTTCTCAGACGAGTGAGTTCCCTGGTGCCAAGTAAGTCGCTGTTTCTGAGAAAAAGACTTTCCACATTCGGTGCAGGAATAAGGCTTGACACCCGTGTGGGTGTTCTCATGTTCCAGAAGAATCCACCTCCGAGTGAAAGCCCTCCCGCATACCGAACATGAATACGGCTTCACCTCCGTGTGAGTTCTCCGGTGTAGAAGAAGACCAGATCTATAGGAAAAACATTTCCCACATTCTGGACAGGAAAACGGCTTCTCACCTGTATGGCTCATCTGGTGGGAAAGGAGGTGGCTCCTCCGCGGAAAACATTTCCCACATTCCGAACATGAAAATGGCTTTTCCCCCTTCTGGCTTCTTTTGTCTGGCGTGACTTTGACTTTTTGGGTAGAAGATTCGCCGCGCTCACTTGTGTCATGGGCCGAGTTTCTGGAAGATGGAGGTGGACTGCATGATGGAGCAAGGCTGGGAAATACGGGAGAGAGCTTGGAGCCAGTAGGGTTTTCTTCTGATGAGTTGGTTGTTACGTCATGGTCTTCCAGATCACCAGCTGGTCCTTCCATTGGGTACCGTCTGTATCGGCCGTCTGGTGGAAATGAGAACATACAAAAGAATGTTACATCGCTCCAAGCAAATATGAAAAACATCCTGTATTCAATTGTGCATTTTGAGGTTTGGCTGGATTTCTAGTATCTAGGTCGGACTATAGTTTCAAAGTGAAAATTATCCATTGACTCCTTCACACCAAAGTCAAACAAATAATGCAGCCCCACAGAACTGGGCTTTTTTTTCCATGAGGGCTGCATATTTGCGTATCCGTCTTTGTACTGAGAGCGAGCCGTACAGTGCGTTCCAAGCACAAAGACTGGGGTATCGCTGACCCGATTCCGGGTCACGTGATCGCTGTGATAGCCTCTGATTGGCTATCACAGTGATCAGTCACTGTACAGCCTGCCCCCCTTGTTTTTTTTCTTCTCTATGAGTGGAGGAGAGAGAGAGAGAGAGAGAGAGAGATACATTTTTTTATACTATTTTGGGCCAGTTTTCCTTTGATGATAATAAAAAAAAAAAAAATCAGGAGATATCCATTATCATTTACCTACCAAATGAAAGTCCAATTTCTCCTGAAAAAAAAAAAAACCTGTTTGTTAAAAAAATAAATAAATATTAAAAAAAAAAAAAAGAAAAAAAGAAAAGGTTTGATCTAGTCCAGTGCCAGGGTTAGTGTTTGGGTCAAGGTCAGGGTCAAAGGTCCGTATTTTTTTTTTTTTAATTGGTATCAGTTCGTGTCAGTGTGTTTTAGGTAAAAAAAAAAAAAAAAAAAAAAAAAAAAAAAAGAAAAACAAAATGCACACTATTGTTTCTGAGCTGTACTATGGGTTCAAACAACAAATAACATACAGATATATGGTATCGCTGTGATCGTCAAGAGTTGGAAAATTGTTCTTTGGTGGTAGGTTATGGTAGTAACAAGAAACACACAGCTAAATTTGAAAAAAAAAAAAGATTTTTTACTATTTTGGACCAGTTTTCCTTTGATAATAAATAAAAAAAAAATCAGGAGATATCCATTACCATTTACCACCAAATGAAAGCCCAATTTGTCCTGAAAAAAAAAAAAAAAAAAAAAACACGGTATAATCCACCTGGATGTACAAAGTAGTGGTGATGGTAGGTGCAGTTTTAATAACACATGTCAATGTTGCAAGGATGTGCTTAGGCGTTAAGATTTGTTTTACCCTTAGGCGTGAAGGGGTTAAAGTGTCACTAAACCCACATCATAAAAACTATCAATAATTACTGTATTATGTGCTGTTTATACTCACTCCGTCACTATGAGATTCGTTTTCTGTATTCTGCAAAAAACCTGGTTGATCCTGCTGTTCTCTATCTCCCCCTTCTGTCCATGCAGAGCAGTGTTGGCAACTTTGCACATGCTCAGTTTTCACCGAGTTTCTATGCTGAGCCTTTCCTCCCTATCATATCTGAATAGCCCATGTGACTATAGAGCTACACATGTGGGCTTATACACAGTGGTAAATGACAGCCCACTCCCTCCCTCTTCCTCCGTGCCCACCAACCAGCTAAAATCAATAGGGGTGGGTTATTACATCTTGATTGATGGAGGCTTCACCTCCCTCTTATTCTAAGACACACTGGAGGGGGAGTGACACAGCCTGTGACTGGCAGAAATCCGCCCACGCCATGTTATTTTCCATAAAATAAGAATTGAGTGCCAATATATATATTTGTATGCGAATTTAAAATAGTTTATTGATCATTTTTTAAAAATTTTACTCTGTAATCCCAAGGCTGTTTTTTTTTGTTTTCATTTTTTTGAACATGTGACCAACAGTAGAAGACTAGAAGCTCCCCATGCCTATATTTCCCTGCAAACAGGCTGGGAAAGAGCTGGGTCATGTGACCAACAGTAGAGTAGCCTTTCTCAGCCAGGGTGCCTTCAGGTTTCTTTAGGGGTGCCTTGGCAAAATGTCTAAAAATTGCCAAAACTTGTATACAAGTCAGTGGGTGGAACAAGCCTGCCTTTTAGTTACACAAAGCCAAAGGTTTCCATTGCAACATCGCCAAAATCCGCATGTTCCTAACCCCAGAAACTACTAAACAGCTCATCCACTCCCTCATCATATCACGACTCCACTACTGCAACTCCCTCCTCACTGACCTGCCTCGCCGCTGGCTATCCCCGCTTCAGTCGATCCTGAATACGGCTGCCAGACTCATTCACCTTTCCAACCGCTCCGTTTCCGCCACCCCCCCCTCTGCCAATCCCTCCACTGGCTTCCGATTGCGCAATGGATCAAATTCAAAATCCTAACACTGACGTACAAAGCTGTCCACCATACTGCCCCATACTACATCACTGACCTAATATCCAAGTACCGCCCGCAGCACGCACACTCCGCTCCTCACAAGACGTCCTTCTCTCTAGTTCCCTGGTCTCCTCTCTCCCACGCCCGCCTCCAGGACTTCTCCAGGGTGTCACCCATCCTCTGGAACTCCCTGCCCCAACCCATCAGATTATCACCTACTCTCCTCTCCTCTCCTTTAAACGCACCCTGAAAACCCACCTCTTCAGGGAAGCCTACCCCACCCCCTGCTAACTTGCCGACCTCCTCCACTCTTCCTACCACTCCATCCCCCACAGCTTTCTCCTCCTGTGCCACCATCCCCTCCCTCCTAGATTGTAAGCTCGAAAGAGCAAGGCCCTCAATTCCCTCATGTTTTGCATTGTATTGGTATTGTTCTGTCCCCCTTTGTAATGTACAGCGCTGAGCGAACGATTGGGGCTCTATAAATACTGTATAACAATAATAATAATTGTGCACCATTACAACCTTCTAGCTGCCGGCATCCTGACATCCAATGACATCATCAGTTGATAAGGAGGATGTCATCTGCCTGCACAGCATCCTAGTTTGACCCTCTCCATCATCTCCATTCCTCTCCATCAGTGCTGGGGTCACATTAGCTCAGTGATGGAGAAAAACTGGAGGGAGAGGAGAAACATTGGAACACTAGTCAGTATCAGCGTGCAAAAGTGTATTTGCTACATGTGTGGATGTTGCTGTGTTATATAAAACTATTAGAATAATTTTTCACATTTTAGAATGGGGTGCCTCGGGACTGTCCATAATTTTAAAGGGTGACGTCCTCCCAGAACAAGAGAACTGCCGCCCTCCCATCATTTCTTTATATGGCAGGCGGGAGGTGGTTAAAATGGTATAAAACGGTTTCAATAAGAGTCAGTCTCTTCAAGCCTGGAAGTAATGGCAGCAGCCTAGGACTCCTCAGAGACAACATCATCTGATAAAGGCTAAATCCACTTTTAGGACCATAGCACTAAATATATATGAAGGGAAATGTATATGTTCCTCGCCCTCTATTTTTATTATTTTATAATCCATCTTGATAATTAACTGTATAGTTGTGTGTGTCAGTTACGTGTTATAGGCCTGCACCCATGTATTCTTTTAAATCTAGTTCTGCTCAAGGCATGAAAAGCAACCAATTATTTCTTTGTACTAACAGCACCTGTTTCTGCTATGATTTAGTTAAAAGTCAAATACTTCTGTCCCATGGGAAAATAACTGTTGGTTACCTGTAACTGATGTCAAGGTCTGAGAAATCTCACGTTCACAGCCTTGACAAGTATCCAGCGAAATCCTATTGTATGGTTTTCTTTGTTACAATATAAGAAGAAGAATCTACGAATAAAGATTCAGATTGTCTTCTGGAAACCTGTGTGTGCATGCAAATTTCTTCCTTCCAGAACACAGTCTCTTGGGCCCAATGGGACCGGAACCTACCAGTGATCATTAGAAGCACAAATCCCTACCAGTGATCATTAGAAGCATATAAATCCCTTTAACATACACTCACACATTTTTATATATATATATATATATATATACATACATACATACAGGGCTTGAAATTTCCACTCGCCTGCTTGCGAGTGGTGAGTGTGTCCCCCAGGGCCATCTTGCTGAGCAGGCTCGGAGCTCAGGCTGGATCTGTCATTGGCACTGGGAGCCGTCAGAATGCTCAATAACTGAGCGCAGTGAAATCAAAGCAAGGAGTGTGTGCTGTGCTCTCTGCCTCCCCCTAAAGTGTAGTACCTGGCTCTGTGAGTGAACAACGAAGTACTACAGCCTTTAATGGGGGGGGGGTTGTGTACGTGTACATGTGTGTGTGTTTGTGTGTGTGTGTCTGCCCAGCGCACAAACAAATGGATCTAAATAAAATTAAGGTAACGGTATGCTGCTGTGCAACAGTGTAAAACACCAATTAATAAAGAAAAAAAATACATAAACAGCGCAAAACACAAACCTTTTCACCATAAATTAACATTAATCAATATCTAAAGTGTTCATAAATAATTGTGTCATAAATAAATAAATGAATGAAAAAGTCCTTCTTCCCAAAAGGTGTATAACAGATAAATCTTCACCCACAAAAAATTGTGCTTCCACCATCCACCAGTGAAAAAATCAACCATCAAGAAATACCATAGCGTAATACTGCCAGTAACATTCAATAATGTTCAAGGAACACTCACATGTTCAAGGAAAGTTAAAAGCACTTAACAAATGCTTTTAACTTTCCTTGAACATGTGAGTGGCCTGGTATTACTTTTACTTTATTGAATGTTACTGGCAGTATTACGCTATGGTATTTCTTTTTCTTGCACTGTTGGGGAGCGCTTGAAGGAGTGAGTTGGAGGAGAGCATCATTTCAGTCAAGGTGGATAAAGAGTTCTGGAGATTTTAGAGGGGGCATAGGATCCCTAAAATCCTAAAAGGCGCAATACTCACCAACATCTGGTGAGTGCAGTTGATGTTGATTTTTCACTGGTGGAAGAACAATTTTTGTGGGAGAAGATTTATCTGTTATACACAATTGTACATGTGTCTGTGTGTATGTACATGTGTGTATCGGTACATGTGTCTGCGTGTATGTACATTTGTCTGTGCGTGTGTATTTATGTGTATGTACATGTATCTGTGTGTATGCATGTCTTTACGTTCCTGTGTGTGTATAC